CATACTCGGATTAGAAGATCGGCATACGAGCAGAAAACAGACTTTGAGTAAAAATAAACCAACTTCACAAATCTATAAGCTTGGCCAAGTTCCATATTTTGCAGGATGACAGCTCTGTCCGGTCGTTAAAAAAAGGGGCCTCAAAGAATTTAAATTTTCTTCCAGCCAATGATAAACATTGTGATAAACTTGTCTGGTGGATATGAGTACAGTTTCCACCTCATCCGCAGTTACAATATCGACAAAAATTATTCGTATTTAACAAAATCTTAAATTCGAGGAAAAAAACGGATCAAAAGCAAATCTATATTTGTTATTCGAAACGATATGTATAATTATGGACGACATGCTTTTCTTATTTAATTAAAAGAAAAGGCCAGTTGAAAGTCATCGTTTCCTTGCAGAGACATATGGTGAATATGCTCCATGGATTAGAACATGTGTGATATGGTTTTGACAAATTAAAAGTGGTAAATTCTATTTGAAAGTCAGTGAACTTTTTGGTTAACCGCAAAAGTGCGAAGACGAGCAATTATAGAAGTTATTGGATGATGATCCAACTCTAACTCAATATCAATTGGCACAAGCGTTAAATGTGTCACAAGTAACAATTGAAAATGTGTTTACGAGCAATGAGGCAGAACAATAAATTGGGTAAATGGGTCCCACACGGTTTAAATGAACGTCAAATGCAAAAATCATAATCACTTGTGAAATCCTCTTTCAACATTTCGAAAGATAATTATTTTTGTATCGAATTGTGATTAGTGACCAAAAATGAATTTATTTTGAAAACCCAAAAAAAAATCGTAGATTTTACTTGATCTTTTTAAATCCTCTCAACACCAAAGCCAAATTGCTTCGGCAAGTAGACTATGTTGTAGGTCTGGTCGGACCAGAACGGTATTGTGTATTATATTATACTATTGAAATCCGGGTAATTGTTAATCCGGAACGCTATCACCAATAAATGATAATTTATATCAAGCATTGACCGAAAGACAACCAGAAGGGGCAAAAGATATAGCAAAGTGACTTTGTTACACGACAATGCAACGTCCAGAAAACAAAACCAGTGAAAGACACTTTGAAATCGCATGGATGGGATAGCGTTCTGCACCCACCGTACCAGGCCTGTCAATTGACTATCACTTCTTCGCATCCATGGGGCTTAGAGTGACACAAAATGCTCAAAGAGCAGCACTTCAGCAATTTCGAAGACAAGCAGTTTTTCTGGAATTGTATTGGAAAGGTGTACGAAATTGGCAGAAGTCGACGGCCAATATTTTAAATACAAAATAATTAATTTCCCTTGGCAATTAGGTGTTTTAATTACCACAAAAACTGGCAAAAGACTATTATATATACCTATTATATATTGAAATTTATATATTTTCTATATAAGTTTCTTTTTAATATTTAAAGAATTGAATAATACATAATTTAGAAAAAAAAACATAAATTCATAAAAAATTATAATAGAATAACAATTAAATATCTATATGATTAAAGTCATCAAAATGAGAGCGTAGCACAGATTTTATGTGTAATCAAGTCATATATTAGTTTCTTTTTAATATTTAAATAATTGAATAATATATAATTTAGAAAAAAAATTTAATAACATAAATTCTTAAAAAATAAATATACATTAAATTATATTATTGATGAAAATATTTATATTTAAATAAATTCGATTCTGTATTGACTACATATTTTTTTTTTTATATATTTAATTGAATTCCTTTACATAAAATTTATGTCTTGATTATATTTTCTTAAGGACTCTGACCTTTTTCTAATTTTTGTCTAATGACCTCTAAAGCTCAACACCCTCTTAGAGTTGAATGCAACAAAGCGATGAAGCGATGAAGCAATGAAGCAATAAAGCAACAACAAAACCATAACAGGCAGTCAACGCAAGATGTGCACTCATGGTTGTACTTACAAAAGATCCTCTTTAATAAAGTAAACTAAACAATTTTCATTCTTGTCTCGTATTTGTCTCGACAAAGAAAAACATTTTTCATTTTCATCTCACTTTCGCACACACACACACAAACACACAACATGTATAAATGAATGTTAAAAACCATAAAACATATTTATATGTGTAGATGCGTGTATGTATGTATAGAAAAATATTTATGTGTTCATTTATATGTGCACACATATTAACTAATATATAAACGATTAAATAAACGCACATTGGCCTGTCTGTTTTAGCGAGGAGAAAATAGGGTAGGTGGGTGGATGGGTGGATAGGAGATTTCTGTGTTGGGCATTAAAGCAGCGAAACTCATTGAGAAAAAAAGGCTCAACGACACCGGCCGGGCCGGGTAAGGCCGGTTAGGGTAGTTAATGTGAAGGGATGAATGACACTCAACGAAACGTGTGTGTGCAGTGGTTAAAAAATCAGCACAAAAAGGGTTTTTTCGTTTTTTCTAATTTACAAAATTATTTGATGTCAACAAGGAAGAGATTTTTTTTTCTTTTTTTCAAATGGTAACAATAATTTTTTTTAACGATAATTTAATATTAATTAAAAAGTTTTGATTTATGGATAATAAAAACTTAGTAATTAATAAACTAATAAAATTAATGAGAATTTGTTTAATTACACAAGCAGCGAGGAACGATTAAATATTAACTATATTTACTGAACAGAATAATAATTCAAGCATAACATATATAATTAAAATTTTTAATAATAAATAAATAACCGTTTTAAATGTTTACTTTATTTAATTACATTTTATTATTTATTTTTATTTGATGTAATAAAATTTTAAATGAGACCACACCTAACACTTTTCACTAAATTAGTTAATTATTACAGTTAATAATTATATTTTAAAAAATAAAAATATATATTTATATTTTAAAATATAAAAATATATACTTTTATTTTAAAATATAAAAATATATATTTATATTTTAATATATTTAAAAATATATTTATATTTTAAAATATAAAAAAATTTTTAATTTTTAAAAATTAATATGTATATTAAGAACAGTTTAAAAAAAAAGCCAAACTAATTTATATTTATTTTGGTGTTTATTCTGACAAAAGAATGCTTTCTAAAATTTATAAACAAAACATCTCATCACTTCCTAAACTTCACTTCCACATTGCAGCTCAATTCACTTGCAACCTCGATAAACGTTAATTACAAAAATAAAAACATCTCAACTTCAAGCAAATATTAAAAGAAATTTTATATAACTAAATAATAATAATAATAATAACAATAATTTAATAAAATCAGTGCATGAACATCATTTTTAGTTTACCTTCAACGCATTCAAATCGATATCGTCCAATGAGCAATTCACCGATGGTGGGGCAATTTGCTGGTGCGCCATTTTGATTTGCTATTTTGTTATTTTTTCTTATTTTTGTCGTATTTTATTTTCTATATTTTGTTTGGTAGTTTTATGTTTGGTTATGCCACAATCAGGCTTGTTTGTTCTTTGTTCGCTATTTTCTTATATTTATTTATTATTTATTTATATATTTTAATATTTATTTTAGCATTAAATGAATTTGTTTAGGTAATTTATTTATTATGACATTTTTACATTTATTATTTGGTTTAGAAAATATTTGCACTTTTTCTTCAAAGGAATTGTTGTAAGAAAATTTGCACATATCAAAAGTAACCATAAGAAAGTTTCTCCCTTTATTTTTCGTTTTTTTGTTTTTGTTGTAGTATGAACTTTATGGAATTTAATATTCTTTTATAATATAAAAAAAAGATTATTATATATACACAATTTCGTATATTTTCGAAACTTTTTACTATTTATTTTAATAATTGAAAGAATTTTTATTTTCACAATTATCCTCTCATAGAACTGCAATTTGAAAGATGTCAGACAACTTCAGTGTGCTGGTGTTAGCGGAGCTGCGGTGCAGGTATGTGTAGGTAGATAACTGAAAATTGCCAAAGGAAAAATTTGAGAAAAATTTTCACAATTTTCTGCATTGATTTTTCTTTTACAATATTAAACACAATTTTTAACTTTTTTAATTTGTTTATTTTAATTTTATTATTTTATTAACAAAAACTTAGCGTTATTTTAAAGTTCCGGTTTCTAGTTAGTACAAAGAAATATAATATTTAAAGAATTTTTCATTCCACGCCCGACTTTTTTTCTTCTTTCACACTCTTTCTTATTTAATCTGGTGACGCTGCTCACTGATTTTTCGTTTTTATTGCGGCTATTTACCGACATTAAATTGCGTTTTTAAACTAACGAATTTATTGAATACATTAAATAAATTGTTAATCTAATAAAATTTTATATATTTTACATTCTTAGTGGGTTTTGTGATTGACTTTCTTTCCCTAATTGTACTACATTAATCGCTGCACTTTTACATCTGTTCGCAAGCACAACTCAACCACTACTGCGAATTTTTGAAGAAAACATAAATGAGCAACACTCAATAATTGAACTAAAGATTAATAGACTGGACAACATTTTCATAAAAATCTTATAGAAATTAATAATAAACAAATTTATATTAATGTGATGAATTTAATATTAATTTAGTTGTAATTAAATGAACCTGCATATATCGAAATAAGTAATTGGAATAA